TTTGTTGTTGTGTGTGTGTGTGTGTGTGTGTGTGTGTGTGTGTGTGTGTGTGTGTGTGTAAGACATCAGGTTGAAATATACGTGCAGATAATTATTCTATAACCATTTCTTCTTGAAGTTCATTTAATAATTATAAGATTAAATGTATAAACAGGATAGCACGTAAATTAATACTTCTGTAAATTCTATTTTATGTTTTCAATTAACGACTGTTTCGCATAAAATTGTAATAAGAAACGGCAAAATCTAGTATTATTAGACGATATTTAAATATCTAATTTCCACGTCAACGTTGTAAAATTTGTCGAAAATGAAAAAAATAAGAAGACGTGAAAAATATTATCTTTCTTAGCATTAACATACTGAATTTTTCATATTTAACTCGACGTCTATTTACAACTTATCATTTTTGGTATTTAATTATTACAATATAACAAATACATTTAGATCAAAGTACAAGATATATCATACATAATAACAATGCGTTTCGAATTGGAGATGCGACATTGCTGTTTGTAAAAATAAATAATCGTGTATTTGAAATTTAATCCTGACAGTATATTCATCAAAAACATCGCGTGCTTGCGTAAATTGCAAGCGAATAAATTCTCGGCAAAAGTCCATTATGCAAATATTATTGAGCGAGAGGATATGCACCTAGGAGAGGCACTTCTTAAGAGCTCGCTGAAAAAAGACGTTTAGGACGCATGGCATTAAATACATAAAATTTCATCTCGCGGGCATAACGACCGAAGTTTGTTAATAAGAAATTGCTGTAGATAGATTGCTCTTTGCTTTGAGTAGTCGGTAGTAAAACTTGGGCAGCATTTCCGCTTGGTTAACATGCCATAACGGTTTCGGAACCGATTAGACAGCCATACGAAAAGAGAGAGTTATCGAGTTCATTGAAACGCGCGCAAATCAATTAGGAAATTTCAGCACTACGTACGAAAAAGATCGACGAAAAGAAGCAGCTTGTTATGTTTGGTCTTGATGTGTCGCTCCTAAGATCAACTACCGTCGGGGCCGTTGAAATTTTTAAAAGAGCCGTAAATCCGCTGTTATCCGCAGTCCTGCGGAAGACAGAGGTAGCTGGAATTCTTAGCTTGACGGGTATCCAGGGAGCATTCGTGATACTCGTTAAAGTTTGATTAGACTTTGATTGCCGACAGAAAGCGGACCAATTTAAACTCCGCCTCGCGGACTGCGAGGATAAAATAAAAAAAAAAAATAAGGAGAAGAGAGGGAGGACAGATCTAAAGAGAGGAAGAGAGAGTAAACGAATCCGGAACGACATCCGGCGATCAAGTGAATGCGGGCATTACGTCTCGGCTTTGCTGCCGGTCCCTTCATGAAAGAATTTAGTCGAGAGCAGAGCTGTCTCTCGCTTGTACAAGCGACGCGCAGACAGTGTGTTTACATCAGGATATGTCTCTGGCATCGGGAGTAATTAAACTTTTTCCAGTGTGAAATTGCAGGATTGCACGCCGGTGCATCTGTACCGAGGTATAGTTGCCCGATCGCGAAAAATTCTGAAAATAGAAATATAATTGCGAGGAATGACGGTCGCTTGAGTTACATCTTGTAACTTTTCATGTGGCAAGTGACAAACAATAACTTTTTTTTCATTTGACTCTCTTAAGTTCGAACGGAAAAAAATTCAGCGTTATTAGAAACATGAACAGCGGCGGTAAATTGCAATTGTCATAAGAAAGAGAAACGTTGATAATAAAAATGACCGTAATATAATAAAACTTTAGGAAAAAATATTGCTCCCTCGTAAAACTTGATGTAATTATTATAATGATTCGTATCACGGTTGAGAGATAAAAAAGGGAGAGAATACGCGCGCGCGCGCAATTGTTTGCTTTAAACAGGATTTTAATGCACTCAAGCCGCTCTTTTGCTGCGCCTCGTGTTGACTATGCACTTTGTCTTACCTGCGTAAATAAGGTAGAGGCGACGCCGAGAACGCGTCAGGAGGAATTCTTTGAGCCACTTGACGTTGTTGTGCAGGCCCGTGTTAAGCAACGGTGCTACCGGACCATTCAAAAAATCTGTCAGCAGACTGCTAGAGAAAGCAAACTCTCGTCGAGCTTTGAATTCAGGTATTATTAGCTGACATCTGACGCTACAAGGGACTGTTCTCCTTTTTGTTGATAAAAGCAAATGGCACTACTTAAAATTCTTGCCCGTGTGTATGTAGTAGTAGTATTGTAGTAGTGAGACGAAATTTTTGAAATAACGCTAAAATGCCGGCATAAGGAAAGTGCACTAAAAATTAAATAACTCGCAAAGTTACACCGACCTGTGTTTTTCTGACCCGTTTATATTATTACATTTCTTACTTATTTCGTTTGTTTCGAGATCACATCCAAATAATTTCGCCACAAATGCGGGGTGTATAATTAAAAATTATCGATGTGTCATTAACGTAAAGTTATTTCTGTAACTAGAAAATAGCTATTATTTTTTTACTAATGTTTCAAAGATTTTTGCAAAAATGCACATCTGCGTCGTGAAATATATCACACATACACACACACACACACACACACACACACACACACACACACACACACCCTGTCAAATTTCAAACGCGTTCGCGGTGTCGCGAAAACAACTTGCTAGCAACGTTGTGAAATATCACCCGCCAGCAATCCGCTGCATAAGCATCGACGTATTTCGGCTCGCTGCAGCACAGGGAAAGAGTTAATATTGACGTTCCCGTTTATCTTGTCGGTGGATCTCATATACTTCGCGAAGATGTACGGCCTGTTGCGCGTTTTATGAAAACAATGTCAATCGTAGAACGATAAATCAAACTGCTGGTACTTTGATCCCAAATACTAGCGCGTGTCACCACCTTGTTCCTTTTTTCCTCTTCATCAGTCTCGTATCCGACGAGATATCGAGAAAACAGAGCGAGATGAGAGAAATCATGAGAAAATCAGACTGCATCCAACGAAGAATACTTGTGGCATAGACAGAGTTTGGATTTTTACGATAGAAATTCTCAACGAATAAAAGGCCAAACCGGCGGGACGCGAGTGAGCCGCTTTTCGGAGCGGGTAAAGTAATTCGTCTCAAATCGAAGCAATCCCGCGGAAACCCGAAACCAATTTCGAAAGAATTGCATTCTGAAACCGTCCACGTGGCAGGGCCCTGAGGCCAAACAACCGACTTTGCCGCACGTGAGAATGCCAAAACTCTTGAAAGACCTTGAGAACCTTGAGCCAGGATCGATTCTCTGGAAAGAACAGTCTTCGGGATATTCGCTCATTTCCTTTTCTCGTTAACGGAAGCCGAATGTTGCAGGGATTATCTCTTTTTCCGGATAATTACGCTCGCCTTCTTCTTGGTTGTCTATATTTAAATATCTCGGTGTCGAATATAAACGAGGCAAATTTAACTTCGTTAATCTAAATAATAGCAAGTCGCATAAATTCGTATCACGATGCTTATCGCATCTTTGATACGAAACTCTTGTAGGATTAATCCTAAAGTCCTAGTAATCCTTTTCGGAGAATTATGCGACTTATATGCGAATGGAGTTTCCAACAAGAATATTTGGATCGCCCTTAGCAATCCAAGTATCTTTACCCTCCCATCCTCGGTATCTCGTTTCTGTCTCCCGTTTTTCCTCCGCCTTTCCGCCGTCGCTGTCTCCTTTCTCGTGCAACGAGTTAACGCGTCGCGTCTGAAGATAGCGGTAACAGAAGAGGTATCTCTCGTATTTTTTATTTCTCGTAGGAGCGGCGCGGGTCAATGTACAAGTCGAGGATACCGCGTGGAAGAGAAAAGGTATTCGTCATCCGCTTAATTTTACTAATGGATCAGTCGGTACGCATTCAATGAGAGATTACGAAATGGTGGGGCGGCGGCAAGAGGCAGCTACACAATTTTCTTCTTACTTGTCTTAGCCACGCCGACTTGCCTTACCGCTTTTATTCCTCGTGCTCGTTTTCTTGTGCCACTGTGGCGTGCCGCGCCGAGTTACCGTTTTTCTCCTTCCGCGCTGTGGCAAGAGGAACTTCTCGACTTGAATCATATCTTCTTCTTGGCATGTCGGTATCGTTACCGACTAGCGTCTCGTTCGTTCGCGGCTACTTCTTGTTTCTTACAGGAGGTACCGATGAGGTACGCAAAAACATTTCAGAAGATCTCCGCATGAACCGCAATGGTTTGTTGGAGTAAAGAAGAAGGGAAGTATTTGTTTCAAAATGTAATAAGCGGAAAGTGCAAAGTGGAGCTTTACCTCTATTCTCTGTGTGAGGCGTAAATTATACGATCATACAACCATCATACAGCCATATATTTTAATAGTATCAAAGTTTACTGAATTTTAAAATGACATTTCCAAATTTTTACATAGAAATTTATTTAGAAACTACTTATAGTATTTTATCCATAGAATTAAAAATATCTGTTATGATTGCTACGAGGAAATAATGCAGAATTGATTTCGAGGATCAGAATAAACAGACGCGTTAAAAACGCGGCATAAAAGTTGGCACAGCTGTCTTCCGTCGCTAACGGACCCCTACGGCTCTTTATAGGACAATGCTAGACGGGGACAATACAAAGAGTCCGCAAATTGGCTTCGATGGTTCGTAGACGGCCGCCATTCGGGCAAATCAGTGCCGCGAGGTTACGGTCGTCGAATCAATATTTGCACCTCGCCACCCTCGCACACAGAGAACCAGAGTGCAAAGTCAGGCGTGTCGGAATTAGCGAAGAAGGAAGGAAGGAAGGAAGGAAGGAGGCAGAGAGTAAGGAGGGTTGGACCCCCGGCAGCGAAGGGCGACGACGACGAGACGAGGGTGCGGAGAGAGAACGTGAAGGTATGGGGCGGCGGGACTACGCGGTTGGTGGCGTTAGAAATCGGTGGTAAACTGAATTAACCCCGTGTTGACCCGCGACCGTATGTTACCAATGACTTTCTATTACGTTGCCGGAGCCGGCATACGGATAGAGTCCATTATAATCGAGCATTGCTCAGAATGGAAAAGGAATGATCGAGATGCCGTCAACTGGGATGCTTGTGCAAACGTTAGACTCCCCGATCGTTCGTGCATTGGCTTCGCTCCTGCGAAAGATTTGTTGGATTTGTTGGCCTGGCTGGAGGTATTTGCCGAAACAAGAACGCGCAGCAACCTTTTACTTTCGCGTATTAAAGCGGCGGAAGCTAACTTCCGTTCGTTGCAGCTAAATTCGAGCACGCCAACCTTCCAGCTAATTTTTGGTATGTAATGCAGTCTGCGGCACCTCGATCAAGCCGACGATTACGTTCTCGTCGTTTTGGTCTTTTTCGTGTCGACGAGCGACTGCACGAACAGACGCTCGGACG